TTTTGTTATTCTGTTAGCAAGTGCTAAAAATTAATAGCTTCATGTCACAGATAATATATCCGCCTGCCATTCCGACACACATTCTGTCTCTGTCGACACACACATTTGCAAATGTCGATGTGTGCGTTTGTGTGTGTGTATGTGTATGTACCGCAGTTTGCTCGTTTGGGGAAAGCGACGGCGGCGGCTCTGTGGCCTCCAAGATTGTGTTGCAATTAATCATCAGACAAAACGCATTGTTCGCGGGCGCACACACATCGTATAAGGCGCTTTACGCACCCACCCGCCCCWCCGCCCCCTTTGAGCGTGCTCCCGAATATTTAAGTCGGTCAAGTCGTTGCATTTGCTGGGATCGGACAGCGCATGCAACACACTCGTAGTTCACTCGACCCAATTTGCAATATAGCCTCATGCAGTCTCGAGGCAATCTTTTGCATGTCTCCCATTAACTGGATAGGTGTGGCGATTAATTTATGTAGTCGATCAGGCTGCGGCAAGTTACTTACAATTATTTATACCATTTGATATTGTTATACAGCATTAAATTGGTAGGATATTCTTGTCCACATATAAAATTTCAAGATTTTTATCTGAATTTAGTTTCTATAGCATAATTATAATATAATAAACACAGAGAAAATATCTCGCAACGTCTTTGTTGTTGTTTTCTATCAAATATCTGTTATATGTAAATTTTATTTATGCATTTAAATTATAATTGTTTTTCACATGGTTACATATGTACATACACATGTATATGGTATATGTATTTATATAAATATATATAAATGTGTGTGTATTTTCATTATGTATGCATGTTGCTATGCGTAAGCGCGTATAAATTAATCATATCATACTAATGTAGATCGTATATTATCTACAAGTTCCTGTTCAGTTGCTCTTGTTTTATAAACGCATATATTTTATATTTATTTATTTTGTTTACTTTATATAAATCAGCTTAGTGTAATTATTAAAACTGAGCGAAATTTTCAATATTCCGCTTATATAAAATTACACCTAATCATGTTTATTTATTTTATTTTGTTGTTGCTTTTTTTCATTTTAGTTTATATGTATATATATTTATTTTTCATTTGGATTTTACAATAAAAAAATGAACAATTTTGTTCGCTCGACCTGACAAGAGATTTAGTCAAGTTTCAAACCATTTGGTAGAACACATCGTAGTTAGCAGTACTTCTATAAAAGTTCCAAATCAAATTTGTTATACAACTGATCGAAAACTAAAAGCATATCTTCTTGACTTTTTCGCTATTCTTGTGTGGGATGACAGATGGAAATACTTGAATGGGGGCACCGTGAACATTATTAAAATAGTTCAGTTCTCCTATGGATGTGGGGTAGGGGGATACTTTCTTCTAGAGGGGTTGACGATATAATAGTATAGTAATGCCCCATTACCTAAATGTCTATGCTGCAGCTAAACGATTTCGACCTCTCAATATTTTGCTACATGATTTATATTTTTAATA